TGCCTTCCATTTACTAAAAGGAATAAGAATAGCCGGTTACTGTGCAACCGGCGTGGTCTGATAAATGAATCTGAGCGAAAAAATAGAGCTTAGGTATTTTCGTCAGTCATTGTAAAATGTGCAAATTGGACAACAGCTTTTGAAGACAAATAACAAGAAAAACAAAAAATCAAAAAGTATTAATTTTTTTTCGAAAAATTTTCCCAGATTTTTGATTCCTAAGATGAAGCTAAAAACTCCAAAAACTAACTTTATTTGAGTAAAACTAAATTTTCAAGGCTTAAATTACGCATAAATAAGCTAATGTAAGCCTGCTCACTCGCTCGAAAATAGACGAAAATCAAAAAACTTCAAACCGGTTTTTCTCGACACTGGAAAAACTTTTTTGAACTTTTAATGTCCTTCCAATCAGGACTGAAAGGGCTTTAATATGTTATACCACTCAGCCTAACCGATGGTTATTTATGGTAGCTGATTTTGCTAGGAAAACAAAAAGTTTCCTCAAAAAACAAACTGAAAACATCGCCAAAATCTATGTAAGAGTACTCACTGCGTTCATTACTGTTAACTAAAAAACGATTTGAGATAATTGGATAAATAGGAAACTAACTGATCAGAAGTCCAAAAGTTACTTACGGGAAAAAAGTCCAGTACCCGGTTATAAGTTCAATTGAAAAGCCAATTAATTACTGTGGGTCACTCAGTTACTTGTGCCCGAAAGCAACTTGGTACTCTTAGCTAAGGCCAGGAAACAATCCCTTTCATAGAGAAACTCATAGTCTCAAAATCAATATTAGTCCATTTGGAGTCAGTTTGAAATTCGTCCATTTGGAGTCAGTTAGCCTAATTGTTGTGATAAACTAATTAAATAGTCTTTGCTCAAATTTACCGCTTGTGCGCTTTCAAATCATATGCGCGCTGGGCTTTCCTCTTCTGATTATCTTACCAAATCTCGCCGTCCCAGCCGTAGGCGAGTGAAGCTTCCCTGGCGTATCTAGACGCAAGAAGGAGTGAGCAGGTGCAACTACCCTTCAACAACACAGGTTGTACCGTTCCTACCTATCACTTTTTTTAGATTCAAATTAAACTCATTCTTTGCCCAACTATCCCCCAACTTTCTACGTAAGAGGTTCTCCGTTGCCTTCGCTGTCTGTGTTTCAGGTGGATGCCCCGATTCCCGGCAAGGCGCATCCCTGACTTCTCACAGAAGCTTGTAATTGGCACATCAAGGACAAAATATATCAAACCAGCTCTAGTAAAATCTACAATCGACTCTTACCGCGTCGCCACACTACAAGATCTATATGAAACAGTATTACAATACAGACCAAAGCGCCCTAATACAGTTACCATTATCGCCGGGTTCAATCATATTAGGCTGCATCCAAGAAAAAAAGAGCAGAAGTGGAAAAACTTAATCAACCTAATTACAAACAAGTTCTAGCCCAAAACCCTAATTATCCCCACAACAATCCAAAGCTCCAAGAACAATAATGTTAATCGCAAACTCTACATTCAACATCCTGTGCTGTTTAAATTAATTAATAAAATTGTTCATCCACACATACTCATTGTTTCGCCCAATCTTAACTTAAATGTAACCCCTCAAATGTTCTGCCAAGATGGCATCCACTTCGATCTTCGATGATTAAATCTTAACAATTTTTTTGCTTATATTATTTATAAATTCTTTTGATAATCTGAAGATACCGTTTCTCCGCAGATAATGTTCGATCAAACACATTGTAACATATGTAACAACGACCTACGCGGCCGTGGAAATTGGTGCACAACATACGCAGCCTACATGCATATAAAATGTAGCGGCCTTAACCGAGCCAGCCACCACAACAAAAATTTCAGCTGCAATCGCTGCACCTCCCTGATTACATACAACACTACAAATGACATTCAAGCCCCTCCAACTCAACCTCAACAAGCTCCTTCGACCAACGATCAAAATCCTGCCATTGCAAAAAACAACGAAACTGTAACAGCCAGACCCGACCCCTGGTCAAATCCCACACCTAACTAAAATATAAAATAAGAACAATCTACAGCCAAGTAGTGCACTGGAAACCAGTCTTCATGATCCTCGCAAAAAAAAAGAATTGGGTTTAACTTTATAGAATCTTTAAAAAGAATCCTCAACTCGTTAATTGAAACGCAAGAAAACATAGGCATTGCACGCAACAATGATATTCCCTCACCTCATGCTATGCAAAACCAAATCGGAGAGTGATGGTTCGAACAGCAAAACTATAGCAAGAAGGCTTAAGCAATGGCATAAGGGCGAACTGGACGACCTTTTTAACGAGGGAAAAGCACCTCAAATGCGCTCGGCAAAGCGTAAGAAAAAGAAAGTAGAAACTGAAGCGCAGCAATTAAATAAATTAATGAGCACTGGAAAAATATCGAGTGCTGTTGCTAAAATAACTGATACCTCCAAGGGAGTTCGAGGAAACCGTCAAAGGTCAAACTGTTGAGCAAATCCTCATCGAGAAACACCCTCCCGCGGAGCCAGTAAACAGCAACCATATAACATCATGATCCGAAGATACAATCCTTTTCCAATCATCCACATTCGACCAAAAAAACGCCCAGAAAATTAGGAAGGCTGCCATGACAACACATGGTTCTCATGGACCCTCAGGTCTGGATGCAAATGAGTGGAGACGCATACTAACGCACTTTGGTCAACAGTCAGTTGAAACATCCAAGACACTAGCCAAAATCGCACAGAAAATATTGACAGAAACACTAAGTCATGAGCTTCTTGAACCAGATAATGCCTGTCGTCTAATTCCACTTGATAAAAGCCCAGGAGTCATGCTAATAGGCATAGGCGAAGTCATCCGCAGAATAATAAGTAGAACGATCACTAAGTGCTTAAAAAGCGAACTTTGGTACTCGGATCGAATTACCAACTGTGCCTTGGCCAAAAATGTGGAATCGAATGTGCAATTCATACGCTTAGGAAGCAATACGAGAAAGCAGATTCCGATGCAATATTACTCATAGACGCGGGAAATGCATTCAACTCCCTAAACCGGAACCTTGCTTTGAAAAACATAGCAAATATATGCCCTTCTATACTGCCCGCTACACAAACCTCTAATCCATCCAAACTCTTCGTAAATAAAGAAAAGTTATCCTATCTAGAGAAGGAACCAAACAAGGAGACCCATTAGCAATGGCAATGTACGGGCTAGCCACTTTACCTTTAAAAAAACTAAGCAACGATAACAGCCTACCACAGAAATGGTATGCAGACGATGGGAACGCAGTCGGAAATTTGAAAAGCCTGCGAAGAGTTCTTGACAACATTATCAAACACGGAAAATATTTCGGATATCATGTAAAAGCATCGAAATGCCAGCTCACTGTAAAATTTGAAAAAAACAATGAGGCGATAAAACTATTCAAAAATACCGAAATTGAAAAGAAGAAAGGGGCCAGAGTACTTAGTTCTGTCATAGGATCCGAGACTAAAAGTAAAACTTTCTTAGAAACTCAAGAACATAATAAAATACTGAAAAAACTTGGAAGGTCGCGAAAACATCACCACAAAACGTGTACTCCTGTTACACCAAATGGGTACAAGAAAAATTGTCGTTTTTAGCTAGAACTACCCCCAATACTACAGAAAACATTATTACCCCCAATACAAAAGGGCTGCGAGAAGATACTGCAGGAAACTCTCATTCCGAATTTAATTGGTAAGGATAATATCAGCCATCAACTTAGAGACATCGCTTCTTTGTCTGAAAATTTAGACCACCCATTACTGGAAACGAGTTGTCGAAATATCAAGCCAACTTCTGCCTACGAGAATTTTTTAGAATGGTCAATTAGAACATCGTCAGTTCTAGACACATACGACCCATTAACAGCTATATCTGAGCAAGATAAAATCTATGCAAAAATAAAAACACCTAAAACCGAAAGAAAAAACCAAAAGACAACTAACATTTTGAACAACTTGAGCGACAGAAAGACAATAAAAAATATGCATCTGAGCTGGCCTCCGAAAAAAGAGCCTCGAACTGGTTAAATGCACTGCCACTTAGCAGATATAATTTTAACCTGAATAAATCCTAATTCCGGGATGCGAATTATCTCAGATATGGATGGGAACCAACCAACATTCCACTCACATGTGCATGTGGTCAATCTTTCAACCTAACTCACGCCGTTCACTGTGCAAAGGGTGGATACACCCACATGAGGCATAACGATTTCAGAGATACATTTGCCAACCTCATGAGCGAGGTTTGCTTTGATGTTGAAATCGAGCCGAAACTTCGGTCGTTGCAAGGCGAGAGCTTTGTCAACAATTCAACCACAACTGATGAAGACGCTCGACTAGATGTAAAAGCAAACGGATTATGGGGCTCAAGGTTTAGCCGAACCTTCTTTGATGTCAAAGTCTTCAACTCACATGCAAAAATTTCACGAAGGAAAGACTCCTATAAGTACCACGAATCACTAAAAAACTCAAAATAACAACAGAGAGTTCAACAAGTCAAACAGAGCAGCTTCTGCCTGTTCACTTTTGGCTGCACTGGTGGTGCCGCACCTGCAGCTACTCGGAAAATGCAGCGCATAGCTGAAAAACTTAGTGAAAAAAGGCATGAAAGCTACTCAGAAACAATAAACTATATAAGAACTAAGATAAGCTTCGTGCTGCTCAGTAGCGCTATCCTTTGTATACGGGGGTGCAGATCACTGCGTAAGACGCAATTCATAGACAATTCAATTAGTGCTCTTCTAGAGGAGGGACGGTTGAAGTAACTACTTTTAATGACAATGCATTAAATGCTGACTTGACTTAATTCCCGCAATATTGTTTATTGATGTATTTATATAATGCTGGTATGGGCCCTATCCAGCTTGTGCACGACCGTATCTAAACGGAAGGGCCCCTTTTATAATTTACTTTTTTTTATTTGGAGTCGGGTCGGGTATTAAAATTTTAGCTAGTTAGATATATTAGCTACCATTAGATTTTTGACTGCTACCAGTAGACACGTTGCCGGATGATTTCACTCGGCGGTGTGTATTGTCCGATATTTGCGTCGATGATGAAAGTTCGATCTCTTTGGCTGCATCTCCACTAGATTGCGCAGATCCTGTATGACCTCCATCTGAAAAGAGCCTCTGTCTTGGGATACTGGAGGACGACTCTGCTGCTTCTTTGTTTAATGAACGGGCAGGTGAGGGCGGACGCAAAGTTGGAGTGGTGGATAAATTATCGGCTGAATGTGCTAGAAGCAATCCATATACTTTAAAAATGAAAAACAAAATTGAAAAAATGAACTTTATACCAGAAAACATACGGGATAGGAAACTTTCAAAGAAGGAATCAGTGTCAACTTTTGAGGAGCTTGGTTGCACCGACTGAGGGACTGACCATTGATCACCAGCTGAAACAATTCAATCTTGGTAAGCTGTCGGTTACCATAACTTGTGACCTTCTGATTTATGTAAAAAATGTTTTAAAAATCTCTTCGATAGACTCTAGATAACGATGAAACTGATTCTACATTTGGTTAAGGCAGTCATAATTGTTGGGAGTGCGGTCTTGTAAGTAGACAACAATGTATTCATACTCATCAGCAAGTAGACAAATAGGCTCTTTTCCAGTTTCCACCCTTTTCAATTTCAATTTTGAAAAGTCTATTTAACGTTGTCATAATGCTATGAAATTTTGCGTGGTGAACAAATCGACAAATTCATAACAGATTTCTTCTTCATACTTTGCAGCGAAACATCACGCATTTAGCCGTAATAACTCGTAAAACAAACATAAAAAGTTATTTTGAAAGGGGGAAAACTGGAAAAGCAGCAAACTAACGAACTAGATAATTATACGGGCTTGTCTACTTACTGCTATGTAACCGGTTATGTTAATCTCATTACATTCAAAACCTTTTATAGCGAAAAAACTAAGTTCAATAGCTAACCAATTTTGTTTTCCTCGTCAATGTCTAAAGCTCGATCGATAGTTTTCTGAGCAGTACTCAAAGCTGTTTTAGCAGACTGAGCCAGAGAGGACCAATCTTTCTGTGAAAACCAACTCATTTACATGTCTGAAAAACAAAGTCACATGGTCCAAAAATTTTCTATTCAATTACGATAGTTGGCGTTATATTTACGGGCTTTTCTCATTGATTTCGACAGAATGAGAATTTGAAATTGTCATATCAAACGTTTTAGCACATCTTGTGCATCACAGGGTTTCAAAAATGAAGATTTTTTAAATTATTATTCTCAACTAGGTAATCAGAAGGTCAAAAGTATCATAGTAACCGAGGTTACAGTCAGGAGTCCCTTCATCACGTATTCCAGTCAAAATCCTTGATATTTTCCAGATAAGGAAGTGATAATGATAAGAGAAGATGACAAGTGTTGATGTCCATACAAATAAAATCGATACGGGTTATTAAAATCGATAAGTGAAGATCATCTAGAAGAGGAGATTTTCCTCTAGAAGTGTGGACAAAGTTGTTTTTGGGGAAAAAGTCAAGTACACGATTGCAATACCCTTGCTTATCGCAAAGGAAAAACTGTAAACTATGAACGTTTTCGCACATTAGTGCATCATAAGGCAGGGTTGTCAACTAATTGACCTTTGATGGAATTGAAAACCGACACGTCCGTGGGAATTGAGAATTGGAATTGAGTTAACTCCGAGTACAGGAATGGAAATTGGATTTGCTCCTTTTCCGGAATTGCTACAGAATTGATGAAAAAAAACGTGACCTGACAATGACACAAAATTTAACGGCCGACAAGACCAGTAATACTATAAAAAGAGCACGGATTATTGGATTGCGCTAGGATTACTTTTTATCTACAATTCAAAAAACAATTGTTTTAAAAAGCTTTATTTATTAGGCGTAGTATCAATAAATCATAGGATAGCGCCATTTACTCGTTCAGCAAAGCCATGTTTCTCTTCAAGAATACGTTTCGGTGGTGGCTGGCTGGAGACACGCTGCACTGAAGAAAATTTTTTGTCAGTCTGGCAGGAGAAAACTTTTTTGTCAGTTTTTGTCAGTCTCTCGATATCAACACTCGTAACACGTAAGTTTTTCAAAAAGTCAAAAAGGCAAAAACTATTTTCCTCCACTCTCACACAAAACTTTTTGAATGAAACTAGGGCCAAGATTCTGGGTAATCGTTGTCAACCCATTGCTTATTCACTTTTATGGCCTCTTCAATTTTATTCATTTTTGAAGTCCTTCTAAAACTTCGACGAACTGCGCATTCTATTAAGTTTTTTTGGAGTGGATCGCAACGCCTAATGATTACAATTGTCTTCTATCAGTTGGTTTTTGATACAAAAAATTTTCCGTGAGTTCACGCTTACGTTAATGTCACGAAAGGTTAAGTTGCGTTTCAATTAGCCTTTTCTGATGTAAGAACTGTGGATATGGATGCAATTTACTTGCATCGTTTAATATTTCTCCCGGATGTACTTTCACAGTTCTCACGATATCATCCACTTTTCGCAGAAAAATTTTCATTCCCTCTGAGGGTTGGTCTCTTTCTTTCAACTCACGGCGTGACGAGCAAAACCAAACAGTATTTGTTTTTTTCCTTTAATCAGTTTCTTGACGTTTACTACATTTTTGATGGAATCAATTTAACCAGTTTTCACATTCAACACCTATGCGTAATTTTTTTCCTAAATTCGGGACGAAAACCACCTTGAGTTTCGATGGGCTAGCAAATTATGGGACTCTCTTTTTTTGAAACGGTTCAAACGCTGTCATCCACAAATTCGCTTGTATGACTACAAGAAATTTTCCCATAGCAAAGCCAATCTTTTCTGCATACCACATATCATTGCACTTAAAATGTACTCGACCTATAGCTACTTTTAGCAGTATCTTCAAAACATTATGTGCAATATCTTGAGGTTTCTCTTGCTCATAAAATTTTCTGAGTGCAATATCGATAGCCTTTTTGAGTTGAACATTAGTGTACTAATTTTTATTATCTAAAAAAGTATGTTCTCGTCGCAGTCCAATTCAACCTTCTCAAAAATCTCTCGTGCTTCTTGTGTGTTTGTTTCTATGTTCGCTCCCTCTTTTCAAAAAAAAACTTTGCCAATGTTTTGTTCAAGTTGTCATATTGATTCCGGCAGAGATAGAACAAGGCAGAGTGGTTTTTCTTTTGTGTACTTCTGCTAAACCAAACAAACGAGCCGGTTGACTAACTGTTGACCTCAATTTGTTGTAAAGATTTTCATTTATGTAATTGTCTTTTTTCAGACTCAACAGCGCTTTGTTAATGTCTATCTCATTTTTCAACACCATGAAAAATCAAGTTTGTTCATTGTTTTGAATTGATCTGACTGTAAGAAATAGAGCATTTTGGCTTCATTTTGTTTTTTCACGATACAATACCTGACATCGATTGCTACTGCTAAAAAAGCGTTGTTTTTGAAATATTTTCCATCTTTTTTCAACCCCCCATCGGATGGTGTCTGTTTCAATCGGATTGTGTCTGTTTCATTTGCGGAAGTTCCCTGCTGTTTCAATCTCATACAAGTTAAGTTCTGATTTTTCAGTTGGGATAAAATATATCTACATCAGCCAAAAAAAATAAAGTTCATTGAATTCATCCCGAACCGGGCTTGGGGTCCCAGGGATAAAAAATTCTCTGCTCCCATTTTGGCAAATCAATGCCCTCTAAATTTTTTACTGACCTGTCACATTCCTTGCCTAATTATCTATCTTGTCTTCCTTTTGGTTTTTTATTTTGGTTTTTGTATTTTTCATTCACCGTGCTTGTGTTCTTGTTAGGAAGTAGGAAGCCAGCCAATTTCTTTGACAAAAACTGCTAGCTTGGAGACTTCGACGAACACGAAAGCTCACTTCGATCGTAGTTTTTCTTGGAACGTGATTAGTTGAGAATCAGGAAAAGCCAATCCAACTCCTATAGTTTCAAAACTGGATCTTCAAAAAAAGTTTTCAGGAAAGTTTTTAGGCCTGAATTTAACAATCACCACGTAACCTGGGGATACTGAGACCCAGCCATGAGGTAGTCTTGAAAATTAGCAAAAAGTAAGTAAGCTCTGCTTGGCTCTTAACACGGCTCTCGGTCTCTGGAATAGACAAAACTTATTTGCTAGATCGAGATGTTAAAAAACTCATAGAGTTAAATTACACGACGTTAGTCAGTCGTCAATAAGGATTTTCTCTACTTTCCATAGCAGTGTAGTTTCCGGTCCAAAATAATTAAGTGTGTTATTGCGCTCTTTGATGAACATATTCAAGTTTTTAACCATCATGATCAGCGAACGATTTAGTAAAGTGGTTTCCGCGCCAAGAGCTACTCGGAGGGCAAGGAACCTCTGATTGGTTCAGTCTAGCTTTATAATTTGTTCAGAGAATTTTGAGACCGAGAAGGTGAGGTAGGGAGTCTCAAACCTTTATGTTTTATGTCCCAGGATTTTTGTACCAAAAACAATTTGTTGTTGTTTAAAACTTGAGATTTGGAAGTAAAGACAATGACGACACTCAACGCTGGTGGCCGAAAACTGCCAAAATTGCTTTGAGGTTTTTTCTATAATTCGAAAACCACTGGATCAATATTTTGAGTTTAATATCAAAAGTTGACATTTTTCCTGTAGTTTTATGCCCATAACTATTTTAGAGCTAAAAAAATGATAAAAACACCTTTTTACCTTTCAAAGAGGGATAGAAAACTGAACAGACCTTGTTTTAATTTAATTTTATTGCTGAAAAGACTTTGATAGTTGTTGTTGAAACGCTTAAAACCAGCGTTAGCAGCCAAAATTTGCGAATTTGTCATTTGCTTTTTCGATATCAAGTGGACCAATCCGGATAGTTAGTGTACCATAGGTCGACCTTCTGCCTGTATTTCACATTTAACCGTTTCTAGGCTATTAGAAAATAACAAGACTGCTAGTATCAGGGCGAGGCCTTTCAAGGTCTATGGAGCAGTAATAACATGAAGAATTAAATTTTAAGAAAATTAAAATAAACTTTTTTTTTCTAAGTTTGAGATTTTTGCAAAAATCAGACTACCACACACCATACAAAAGGCAAAGTGCTAGATTTTGCTCCTTGTAACAAATCAATTACGGCAAGCAAGCTTAGTTCAACCAATTTGGAACGAGTTCTAAGACTGGTTAAATCTCCGTTCATGAAACTAATCAGTCCTCAAAAACTAATTAGTTTCTGCATTTTTCTTTAAAAACTAAACACTAGTTTGGTAAAGAATATATGAAAAAGTGGGCCAGAACACTCTGTGCTATTTGCACAGTAACAGGCTATCCTTGTTATGATTTGTTTTAGTCGTTCTTAAGGCTGGATTACATTTTAATCGATCCCCACAAAAAAACTTTAATGATTAAATGCTGCAGCCAATGATGAGCTAAACCCCAAAAGTTCTTAGATAAGAGTATTCTGGTAACATGATACTGGTTTAAGTCAGTTCAAAGTCTCCCAACTGAGTGACAGACCCTAGTTATGCCAGCTCAGCTAATTCACAAGGTTGAAATACAAAGAATTTCTTACTCTGTTTGTACGTGTTATCGATAATGTGTACTACTTAACAACAACTAAAGCACTCTTTCATGATCTCAAGTTCACAAATATATTCGAACAAAAGTGACCCTTTGGCTGCTTAGCGAGTTACCAAATCTGAAGCAGCTTGAGGCCAAACTGTTCTAATTAAAGTTTTAGGATCAATTTTATTAGGACAAGTTTCATAAAAGAAATTTAGTTTGAATCAAAAAGCACGAGTTGAAAAACCTGAAGGACGCGTGGCGTGTCCTGAAGGCACTTGACAATCACGTGAAAAGAATAGCGTGCGCATGTTAGATAACCATTCTGCAAGAAACACATCAATGAACTTTCCGAAATTTTTCCCGAATTGTTGCCTTTAGTCGAAGAAGAACAACACGGTAATTCGAAACTCACTCTATTGGTTTTTCTGGAACTAGCATCCCTTGCCTAGTGGACTTCTCATCAGTCAAACGACGATGCGCCAGTCACAGAAACACAAACCGGGTTTTCGATCATTTAGGTCAACCTTGTGTCTGCTTCA